ACACTCTGCACTAGGACCTCGACAATTCATTACTACCTAACATAAGTCCCTTGAAAATATTTTCACTATGAATTGGTTTGTGTTATGCTAGAGAACTATACCTAAATACATTTTTAAATTCTCTATGTATCTACTTGTAGTATTTTACTTTTATAATATTATAATTTCATAAAGACATACATAATTCAATAAATATTAATTACTTATTCTTTAGGTAAAGGAATTATCTAGGTATTTTAGGTATTTACAAACCTTAATAAATAAAATAGTATTTCTAAATTTTCTCTTTATTTGATTTTAGTTCCAAATGTCATATTTCAGTGCTTCAAAAAGTGGTATTCACGCATTGAATAATTCTATAAGCTCACCCTCCATATTAAAAAAATGTGGAAAGACGGCATTAAATAATGTACCTGGTCGAAGAGTGTGTTTTGATTTATTCAATAACTTGAAATTATTGCTCATTAATTATGACAGCAGTAATAAAGATGATCAAATTGCGTATAATAATCTAATTTGTGACATAAGAGATTTGGCTACCGAAATTAATGTAAGTTGAGTAAACAATTTAAATGATATTTTTTATAAGTATATACTATATAACTAGTAYAGTTTATAGTAATTAATTATTAAGTGAGCTAAATATTTAAATTTATGGACAAATTATATTTTATATGCTTTACCATCAATTATGTGGAGTGTTACCATATTAATTAAATGAAACAATAAAAACCATGTTTAAAATGTAATGAATAATAAGCTTTAAGTACTTGTCAACTATTATTAAAACAAAAGTAATTTACAGGATAATGAACTTATCAAGTTATTGAAAGATGCCAGAAATTGTGTGAATATTCTTAATGAAAATCTTACACTTTTTGTAAAAGTTATATTGGTAAGAGTTTTAAATAACTTATGTATATTAAAGAAAATTATCATTTATTTCTATTTTTTATCAGATTTTAAAATGGATGAACAGAAGTGATGATGTAGTCAAGGAATATCGATTATTTTTACTCGATGTTTGTACTGCATACAGCTATCATACACAGTTTGCAATAGAACAACTTGTGGCATGTTTTTCTCATGGTAATACCAAAACTGATTTAAAATTAAATTGTCTATAAGTATCTATTATCTATAAACTTAGAAAAATTTATAGTAGATAGTGCTGTTTGTGATCGAGTCAATGGTATGCCATCTGAAGAAGAAGAAAGAGGGTTTCAAAATGTCCATGTAACTCTTGAAGCTCTCTTAAAAGCCATTCCATTGTAAGAAATCTCATTAAAACCATATTTATTACATCATTATTAATTTGTAATTTTAAATACTATCTTTATTCTTTAGATCAAAAGATTTATTATTATCAGCTCTTAAAAAAAAGTTTCCGTATAAGACAAATTCGTCTAATTCCCATCTTCATTACATACACAATTTACTTCATATTTTTGAGTATGAACCATCCTTAAGAAAAAATATTCTTAGTCTCATTATCAACAAGTGAGTACAGCAAAATAATTCTTTAAATTTGTTTTCCTAAATATCTATATTATTTTTGCAGATTAGTAGAAATTGATGTTCATATACCCAAAGATGAACTAGACAGATTGGGATCAAATACTAATATGGAAATTGAAGACATATTTCCAATGGATGTAGATGAAGAAGGGTGTATGAAAGTTTGTCCTAAAAAAAATGAAGTGGAAAATTTTTCAGATTCATTGGATATTTGTCTCAAAAGAATATTTATTTATATGAAAACTACTTGTCATAATCTCAATGGTAGTTTATTGTAGGTATCATTTAAATTGACTAAATTATAATTTATGTTTCAATTAGATACTTAATTTTTTTTKAAATTGTTCAATTTATAAATAATTATTTAAATTTATATTCTTTTCAGATGGGATAGTACTAAATTATTATATCATGATTTGTTATCAATATTTGAAAGTGAAATTCTTCCGACATATAACAGTAGTCATATTCAATATGTAATTTACTATTTTCTTAGTTTTAAAACTACATTAGCAGAAAATTTTAGTAATTGGTTGTTGAAAAAATGTTGTGATATATCATCCCCGTCTACTCTGCGACAGGCAGCAGCTGGTTATTTGGCTAGTTTTCATTGCAGAGCACCTTTTATTACAAATAAGTAATTAATTTTTACAGTAAATATGTTAAATAATATTGAATACTTAAATGTATGTTTATAATTTTTAGMGTGCTGAAGAATACTCTTTTTGAAATGTCTATGTGGTGCAATAACTATATTAATAGTGTAGATAAATCTGTTAAAGTAGTAGATGAAGAGTTATTAAGATCGCATGCAGTATTTTATTCAATGTGTCAAGCATTGTTCTATATTATTTCTTTTAGACATCAAGATCTAATGGATAATAAACGAAGTAGGTTTTGATTTTTTCCGAAATAGTAGAATAATCTATAAGYATCTTTAGGAAAGCTCTTATCTAGGAGGAATTTTCCGTTCTAGACCCTCTTTCCTTATTTTTTAAATGGTATTGCAAACTAAAGGGAAAATTGCATTACTGCATTACTATGACTTCTCTTCGACTGAATTATTTATTGCAAATCAAGCATTAAAATAATATACAAAGTGGCAATTGAATTATTTAAAATATAAAAATCATMAATTATTTCATTAAACAATAGTTAATGTATGTGATTAGCCCGACATCCCGCCCTAGGCATTAGACTTATTTTATGTTAGCTATTCTAATTTTTTATT